TTCAGTCTCGTAACGCGACTGCGCGTCTGGAAGAGTGAATTTGTGAAAGAGGGGGTTCTAAGAGTCTCATTTCCAAATCAGCATTTGTTCGAGCACCCTTAATGTTTGTAGCAAGTAATAATTGTAGAACTAGGTCTTTTTACTAGTCTTTTTCATAGTTTCAGGTTTTATTGCATGTTTTTCAGTGTCATTTTTGTGGTTTAAGGTTTGTTTGTTTGATTTGAGTTTTCTGTTTTTTTAGATTTAAGTAAATGTAAATAAGTTTCTTTGCGTTTCTTTTTAATCTTTTCCTTAGGTTTAAATTTATAATTTCTTTTTAACTACGAAAAAGACTATTAAAAACACCTAGTTCTACAATTATCACTTGTTACAAGCATAGAGGAAGCTCGAACGAATGCTGATTTAAAAATGAGACTCTTAGAAACCCATCTTTGACAAATCTACTCTTCCGGACGCGCAATCGCGTCACGAGACTGAACGAAGTTATCCGAGTTGAGTCTACGCATGCGCACTCTTCATATAAAGAATTACTCGATTCGCGAACTAGGTCTTTGCTTTATGTAAACGAAAAAAATGTTACTTTTTCATCATATATTACTTTTTTATTTTTCTATTTATCTGATTTATTTTAACTACTTTTTGATGATTAAAACAGGTTTTTTAATTTAATGTAGGACTTGTTGAACAAATCAGAGTAGTTAAAAAGTAGTCAAATAATCTGCTAGGAACTGTTTTTTAATTTACATTAATTTGTTTATTTTATTTTACGCAGACAAATTATTTGTTTATTTATTAATAACTTATTATTTATTTATTCATAAAATATTACTAATTGATTGAAAAAAGAAAGAATTCAATTCGATTGAAATTTACGAGTTTTATTTTTTATTTAATTATTTATTATTTATTATTGAAATATTATTCATTTATTATTTATTTATTAATAAAATGTTATTAATTGATTTAAAAAAGAAAGAATTCAATTTGTTTGAAATTTACGCGAGTATTAGGTAATTTTGACCGTTACCTTGTACACAGAGCCTTTGCTTCAGTGCGCTTTTTGGCCCTGCGCGCAAAGACAAAAAATACAATATTTCCGAAAGTTGAAGAGTCTCCATCGATTTCTTTATGTCAAAATACTCGTGAAATCCTAAGGAATCAAAATATCGCTATTAGAAAAAATTAAAGATACGCTTATAAACAAAAAATTTGTTTAAACAATATTTTTTAAATTTTTTATTTAAAACAAAAAAAAAATTTTTTGCAATTTTTTTTATTTTAATTGTTTCTAAATAATAAGTAATCCCTGAAAAAATCATTAAAATCCATCCATTAGTCTCTGAGATATTGCGTTTTCAAAATTTCAAAAAAAAAATTTGAAAACCCTGAACAACCACAAATTTTTTTTATTTTCGAAAATCTTTTTTGGAATTTTTATTTGCATGTATTCCCCTACAATTTCTTAAAGTTTCACAAAAATCGGAGAACTGAGGGACAACTTTGATTTGTTAGGTATGATTTGACCCTTTTATAAATTTCCATAAAATTCTAAAAAAACAGTTTAATTATTTTCAAAAGTAATAAAATTCTTTGCAAAACTTCAATTATTTTAAAAAAATCTAAAAAAACAACATTTTTATTATCTTTATAAATGAATAGGAAAATTCTTTGACAAAATTAAATTAATTTCAGGAATTTTAACAAAATTCTTGTAAAAGTTCCATTATTTCTATAATAATCTATAAATAACAAGAATTCAATTATATTTACGACAAGAATTCAATTATTTTCACAAATTTTTCTTAATTCAATAATTTGTATGTCTACTATTTTAATAAAACTTCCAAAAAGAATTCAATTCTCCGCCGCTGGTTGTCCACTACCGAACATCATTGATGTCTTTGATGTGCTGGGAAAAGCGGGTCCACTGCCAATCATCATTGATGTCTTTAATGTGCTGTAAGAAGTGGGCCCGCTGACAGACACGACTGGCATCATAGATATGTTCGGTAGACCTTGCCATGGTGGTGGGACTTTTCACTAAAAGGCAACCAAAACAGCAAGAAAGAATGGATTTACGAAATTCAAAGAAGGTAACCCATGTGAGCAGGCCGGAAACAGGAAATCCCACCATCGGTCCCAGGACTGATGCTCAAGTGCGCGCGGATTGTGGGGGCGCACAATTTCTTGCAGTGCCACGGATGGTCGTGGAAAGGTTGGATACACAGAACACCGTGGAAGGAGAAAGAAAGAGAAAAGGAAGCGCATCGAGTCTTCTGAGTGTATCAAATTCGCAGTTTTAATCCGAGTCAGTCAAGGATTAACCTATGTTGACGTTCTGGGTAAATTTTGCAAAGTGGTCAACCCGGACGACTGCCATACGAGAATAGTAGCTGCAAAAGCAACAAAGAAGGGAGACCTTCTGATTAAGATCAGAGGAGATTCCGAGAAGGACGCTTTCACTGCCGAGGTCACCAAGGCGGTTGGAAGCATGGGTATGGTGCAGTCGTTGGATTGAAGAGTTACACTCAAGATCCGTGATTTGGATTGCCTTACCCAAGAAGCCGAGGTGCAACAAGTGTTGTCTGAAGCGATGGGAAAGCCAAGAAGCAGGAGAGTGACGGTCTTAGGACCCAACCGCCGAGGGATGAAGCTCGCGGTTGTTGTCACCAACCCGGAAAAGGCGAAGAGGCTGGAGAAATGGGGACACGTAAAAATTGGTTATATGTGTTGCCCAATTCAAAAGAGAGTAGTGGTCGTCCGGTGTCATCGATGCTCGGGATACGGTCATATTGGAGCGAAATGCCAGAAGGAGGACAGATCGGCTGCGTGCTTTAAGTGCAGTGAAGCCGGTCTCAGTTTCTCCAACTGTAAAATTAGCCCAAGCTGCTTTTTGTGCAAAGAAAAGTTTGTCAATAAGGTGTCAGCCACTCATATTGCAGGCAGCGGTGGATGCGGAGTCTTAAGTCCTTTTATAATTTTACCTTTTGACCTTTATACACTACCGTCCACGAGTATCAGGACACACGCGACTCTATGAAAAAACGTGCCATCACTTTTTCAATCATATCTCGGAAATAAAAGGAGATACAAAGAAAACTTAAATACGGTTAGAAAGCTGATTAAATTTTGCGTAAAATAAGTCATCTTTGAAGTCATTTCGTTAACTATTTTTTGAGTTGTAGAGTGTGAAAGAAATAAGAAAATTTTCTCATTTTTGTCTCTTGACTTAAACTTTTTCAAAAATCTAGAAAAATTTAGATAACATTTTTTTAAAAACACATAAATCTTCGTTAGAATTACAGCTTTAAAATAAGCCTTAAAAAATTAAGAAAGGTTAGTCCGTCTTCGATATATCATTAATAATGTGAAGCCGTGTTTCGACCGATTGGTGCATTGAAATGCATTGAAATTCAACTGTGACGACTCGATTCTAGCTTCGCGTAGCTGCGAATGGGAGAGGAAACAGGGACGAATTTATGCTGGGAAATAATAAATAATGATGTTTCACAAGTTATATAAAGAAACTCGAAGTTAATCGTTCCTCGCATGAATTCGTCCATGCTTTCTCTCTCATTCGTTGCTGCGTTAATTATCTAAATTTTTCTAGATTTTTAAAATAGTTGAAGTCAAGAGTCAAAAATGAGATAATTTAATAATTTTTTTTATTTCTTTCTCACTCTACAACTTAAAAAATAATTAACGAAATGACTTCAAAGACGGCTTATTTCACGCAGAATTTAATCAGCTTTCTAACCGTATTTAAGTTTTTTTTGTATATCCTTTTATTTCCGAGATATGATTGAAAAAGTAATGGCATGTTTTTTCATAGAGTCGCGTGCAATCGTCCTGATAATCTTATTGCTGGTAACGGGGCGTAGCATGAACCAATAATGGCACATTTTTAGCAGATTATTAGACTAAACTTTTTTATCTATTGATGGCAAGTTGTAATTGAAAATATTGGATGAAACTGAATTCCGGAAGTTTTGGAAAATCCGTGACAAAAAATTCAAAATTACTACTTTTTTCTCTTGCAATTTTTGTAAATAGCTTCTGATAGTAAAATATATCATTATCAAGAGAGACAAAATGCTTCCACGGCAAGGAAAAGATAATTTAGTTGAATTTCAGGGAATTTTGGAAAATCCGTGACAAAATCGATATTACTGATTTCCCCGACTTGGATCCTCATGATGGTATTCGCACTTAGGGCATTATTTAAAATTAAAATTAAAAAGCATCCAGAAAATTTTAATGTCTTTTGTTAAATTTTAATCAATACTCAATATTGAAAACTATAAAGGTACTAAAGAACACGTCGAAGACGGGTATCGAAGCTAGTAATAATATATGTTTATGGGTGGATCTCTGAAAAATGACAACTTACTCGCTTACGTTATTTTGTTAAAAATTAATGGATTTAAATTCTTTAAAATTTAGCCATTTATACTGTAAGATTTAATATTTTTCAATCATATCACTATAAAAAAGTGTAAATCACACCTACAGATTAGCTCAGTCGGATAGATGCCTCGCTTGGCGGTCGCTTAAGGACCAAGGGTATAAGTACCCTTGGTTCGCGCCCATTTGGCTTGGTATTTTTCCGGCACGTGAGAAAATCTGAGCGGGAGGTTTGACGTCGAGGTATAATGATGTGCACCGTCAATTATTGTCCGGTACACACAATTAGAGCTCGACTGTCGATAAACCGGTTGTACTCAGGAGAGGTTTTCTACAGTTTCCCTCTTCTCTGGCGAGAAAACCCATTGACGGGTGGTCCAGGCGGAATGCGAGTACTCCTAATAAAAGTCGGCTGTAGACGCAAATTAGGTTAATATATAGAAAATTTCATAAGTAGAATGGTTATGCTTAATCCAAAAAGTATTTCTCGGGGACTCTTGTCGAAGTGCGTAAGGCCAATAGGGCAGGAGTATGAACAATAAAAAAAAGTGTAAATTACTGAAATATTATATATTCTAGTGTAACATAGAAGAATGTTTACTTGAATTTATTTTATTATTTTTGAACAAAAATACCATTTTATACTGGGCATAAGTAATTTGTTAGTTTGAGAGAACCACCCTAATATAATATTATAACAATACATATTCTGCAAACAGATAATTTAAAATAAATATCACAATACAAACCTATTTTATAGCATCCAGCCCCTCAATTATTTGCTTAATATTCATGATATCACAAACGAAAGGAAAGTGGTGTTTTTTCTAAAACGTGACACAATGTATTTTTCTCATATGAAATTGCAAAAATTGCGTGACAGGGGGAGGGGGGGTCGAAAATCTCCAAAAATTGCTTGACGTCGTTTGTGAACGCTCCCAAATCATAAAAAGTATCACACGGAAAAGATGAAATAAGCAGATTTTACGAAACTGAGTTTTGTAAAATGTAAGGAATATTTCAGGATAAACGTCAAAAATATTCAGTATAAAATACGAAAGTTTTGTACTTTATCCTGAAATATTTCTTACATTTTTCAAAACTCAGTTTCGTCAAAATCTGCTAAATTTTTTTTCTGTGCATTTTTGGAATATTTAATAGTGTTTTTTTTATTTTGACGGTATAGTTAACTTTTAAGCACAAATTCATGTTCATCAGACAAAAAAATTTGGCTTTCTAATTATTCAAAATTACAAGTTTAAATTCTTTTTTAGAAAACACCAATCACCATTAATAATTTTTAATTTCTAATAATGTCGAACAAATATCAGTAGATATAAAAAATTTATGTTTATTCGAACTCTAGAAAATGTGTCTCAGTCGATTTTTCTTCATGTTTTTAAGTTTAATTGTTTTCTTCAAATAAAATTTAAAATTTTGAAGAAAATCGATTGATACTCAATACTAATGTATTGTAATACTTATTATAACCCGATAGAATGATGTCCTAGGGACGTTTTGTAAATACATCGATGCTTAGATATCTTAAACACATAGAAAAAACAGCTAACCGGAATATTTTTATAACAAATGCAACATTCAATATGCTCTCTAACCACTTGAATAGTCGTATAAGATAAATGTCCCAGTATAGCTGGCCACCTTAAGAATGGTCCCACCCAAAACCTGGTCACAATATAAATGCGGCTTATAAATGAATGACCAGGTTTTGGGCAGGATCATTCTTAAGGTGGCCAGATACTGGGACATTTACCTTACTGCTGTCTACATATCAGGCAGATTTTTTTTATTAGCTATAACGTACTATGCAGAACATGTCCTAGGAACGTTTTATAAATACATCGATGCTTAGATATGTTAAACGAAATTTAAAAATAATTCAAAATAATATTCGTAATTCTTAGGTATTTTCTTTAAACTACGGAAATGCTTAGGATAACCCTAAAATGACAGTGGCATATCACTAATGTCCGAGTGCTATAAGTAATTGTTTATTTTTTCCAAACAATTTTAGTAATAGAAATTTTCGAAATTTTAATAACACATCTTGTTGAATTTAGTCGTAATACTGTAAATTGTATCTATTAAATATTATTAAAAGTAAAACTTTAATAGCACATTTTTGACGCGCTCCCAAGAAAGGTACCTAAAAAGCAAATAATTTATAGGTTGGGTTCGTGTTAGATTTATCTTGATTAAAAGTTTATTTTTAATTATTTGAATTTGAAACCAATTTTTATTAAATATTTTGTATATAATAAAGACTTTAAGACCAACAATTTTTAATTAATAATTGAATTTTTTTCTCTATTTTTACTCAAAAAATTAAAAACATAACCTCAAATTTTTTGCTTCTTAGGTACCTTTCCTCAGATCGTGACACATATAGATAAATTTTTGTAATACTGGAAATCGTGCTTCAAACTTTATAGTCCCTTCATATAGGTCTCTTACATTATTCAATGTAAATAAATACAACGTTTAACAAATGATTGGGACCTTATACCTTATTAAAAATCGATAAATTATAATAGAATAAGTTAAAATTATAAAAATACTCTTTAGTTGTATTGGTATACTTCTCCACATACGGGGCAGCTTTGTGCATCGTATGCTAAAAATTCGGCAAGACAAAAATCACAAATGCACATATCACCGCATGGAATGAAACAGCTGACCGGAATACTTTCATAACAAATGCAACATTCAATATGCTCTCTAACTACTTGAATACTCGTGTACTGCTTTCTGCATATCGGGCAGGTTTGTTGTGGATTTGCTAAAACGTACTGCGCTGAACATTCTTCGCATGTAGATAGATGTTCACATGGAACAAAACATCGTGTTGGTCGAAGACGTTGGCAAACGCAGCATACTGGTGCATTTTCTGTCGAAAAAATTGTTTATACTATTATTATTTATAACAATTATTTTTTAGTCATTTTTAGTAAAAATTAGTACAGGGTTGCAACAATTTTTTCTCGAATGAAATTCCCTGACTTTTCCTGGTTTTCCAGGTCTCAAATTTAAATTAATTTGATTTCAAACATGAATAAATCTACAAATGGCTTCAAAAATGTTTTTTTTAATAATTTTAAATAAAAATTTGGAAATTATTGAATTAAATAAAGAATTTTTTCAATTTTTTAAAATAATCTTGTCTGTTTATAATTATAATTAAAAATTTAATGATTCAATTTTATTGAAATTATATTGATAATAATTGAATTCCTGCAAAGAATTTTACTATTTGTAACGCTCCACGGTGAAAGGGACCTTATGTGACAAAAAATTAATTTTGAGTTATTTATATCATTCTATAATTTTTGAGTTAAGGCATTTCACGTCAGAAATATCACGATATGCAAAGGGTCTGCCGATTTTCACAAAACTTCGTGGGATTATAGTTTTATGTAAGAGACTTCTTTCCTCCAAATTTAAAAAAAAAATTTAAATTGTTGAAGATACGCCATTTTGAATTTTAATATTAATTTTATAAAATTTTGAATATCTCGGAATATTGTTTACAGATTTTTATGAAATTTACACATTTTTCAGGTAAAAGTATGTACTTTAAAATACAAATAAATTTATTAAAAAAAATTAATTTTTAAATTAAAAATTTTTTTTTTAATTTTTTAAACAATTTTTTGTTTATTTACTCCTCTCTAAGAAAAATGTTATTAACATATTTGGATTCCTTATGAATTCACCTTTAATTTCATTTAAAAAATTAATGGAGACTCAACTGGGTCCAGAGATATTGAAGTTTTTGTAAATAATAGGCCTAGTTGCAACGGAAATGCACGGCTATGGTAACCTACTACGCGACTTGTGCAGTATGGTGCGATAGCGCGGCGACGCTTTTTTTTACAAAATTTTCAATGTCTCCGGACTCAGTTGAGTCTCCATCAATTTTTTTTTATGAAATTAAAAGTAAATTCATAAGGATTCCAAATATGTTAATAACATTTTACTCAGAGAGGAGTAAATATACAAAAAATTGTTTAAAATTTTTTTTTTAATTTTTTATTTAAAAATTAATTTTTTTTTAATAACTTCATTTGTATTTTAAAGTACATACTTCTACCTGAAAAATGTGTAAATTTCATAAAAATCCATAAACAATATTCCGAGATATTCAAAATTTTATAAAATTAATATTAAAATTCAAAATGGCGTATCTTCAACAATTATCAATTTTTTTTTTTTTGAAAATATTTGGAAGAAAGAAGTCTCTTATATAGAACTATAATCCCACGAAGTTTTGCGAAAAGCAGCAGACCCTTTGCAAATCGTGATATTTCTGACGTGAAATGCCTCAGTTGCTCTTTCATATACAAAAAGCAAAAATAATTTCTACTTACAGGTTTTTTGTTATTAATGTTTAAAAATGAGCTTGTTGTATATTTACACGTGCTTGTTCAAAAAATCAGCCACTCTACTTTTCAATACTACTACACTGGTCATGTACGTACAATTCGTGCGCTTCGTGTAACACGGACAGCTATCAATGTGTAGTGAGTAGTGGGGCTGATTTTCGCTAAAGCATCTCCGCCAATCAGAACGCTCGACTTTAAATGCTTTTCCTGAAAAATCAGCGTTTGTCACGTTAGGTCCCTTTCACTGTGGAGCATAGAAGCAATTAAATGCTTCCAAAGAATGCGAAGAATTTTATTAAATTTTTTGAAAATAATAAGCAGTAATAATTAATTATTTATTTAATAAGTTACATAGTAATAAAAATTTTACCAAGAAATAAATAAATAACATTTATTTTAAAATTCAGAAATTTAAAATTATAAATATTTAAGAAAATTTCAATAATTACAATATTATTGAATAATAATAGGGGAGACTGGGGCGAAAAGTTCAGGGAACCGTACACCACGTTTGCGTGTTTTTTCAACATTTATTTTTTCATAGTAAAATGTGTCGAAAAACTCGGCTCTTTTCACACATATTAACACACATATTGAAGATTAAGAAAAAAGTATTTTTTTATTAATTCTCTCCTTCATGGCGACAAAATGGCGGCTGAAGTGATTGTCCGGAAAAACTGGTTGACACGATATCTCTGCTTCAAAATGTCGGAAACAAGAAATCCAAAGAATTTCTTAAAATATATGTCAGTGGCTATGCCATGAACTACAACCAACATTCAACATTCTTATCAAAATTTCAATTACACTACCGCCCAAAGGAATCAGGACGATTACATTCGACTCTATGAAAAAACATGCAATCACTTTTTCCATCATATCTCGGAAATAAAAGGTAATACAAAAAAAACTTAAATGCGGTTAAAAAGCTGATTAAATTTTGCGTAAAATAAGCCGTCTTTAAAGTCATTACGTTAATTATTTTTTTAATTGTAGAGTGAGAAAGAAATAAAAAAAATTATCAAATTTTCTCATTTTTGTCTCTTGACTTCAACTTTTTCAAAAATCTAGAAAAATTTAGATAAAATTTTTCTAAAAACACAGACATCTTCGTTAGAATTTTAGCTTTAAAATAAGCCTTTGAAAATGAAAAAAGATTAATCCGTCTTCTATAAATCATTAAATATGTGAAGCCGTGTTTCGACCGATTGGTGCATTGAAATGCATTGAAATTCAACTGTGACGACTCGATTGTGGCTTCGCGCGGCAGCGAATGAGAGAGAAAATAGGAACGAATTCATGCGGGGGAACGATGAACTTTTAAGTTTCTTTATATTACTTGTAAAACATCATTATTTATTATTCTCCAGCAAACATTCGCCCCTGTTTTCTCTCATTCGCTGCCGCGCGAAGCCAGAATCGAGTCGTCACAGTTGAATTTCAATGCACCAATCAGTCGAAACACGGCTTCACATTTGAATGATATATCGAAGACGGATTAACCTTTTTTAATTTTCAAAGGCTTATTTTAAAGCTAAAATTCTAACGAAGATTTCTATGTTTTTAAAAAAATTTTGTTTAAATTTTTCTAGATTTTTAAAATAGTTGAAGTCAAGAGACAAAAATGACAAAATTTGATAATTTTTTTTATTTCTTTCTCATTCTACAACTTAAAAAAATAATCAACTCTAATAACTTCAAATACGGCTTATGTTACACAGAATTTAATCAGCTTTCTAACCGTATTTAAGTTTTTTTTGTACCTCCTTTTATTTTCGAGATATGATTGAAAAAGTGATGGCATGTTTTTTCATAGAGTCGAATGTAATCGCCCTGATACTTTTGGACGGTAGTGTATTTTTAAAAACTCTTATAAAAAAAAGTTTCAAAAACTTTTTTCTCTTTGGAGAAATTCAATTATTTTTTATAAAATTTTTATCAAATTTCCGAAAAATAAACTTATTCTTAAAAATTTTATTAAAATTTGTCAAGAGAATTTAATTATTTAAAAATTTGTTGATAAAAGTCTTTAAAAAAATTCAATTTTAAAAAACATTCAATTATTATTTAATATAATATTTATTTTTGTATTTAAATAATTGAATTCTCGTGGATTTTTCTAGTAAATATTGATTTAAAAATGAATTTCAGTTAAAGTTTTAGATTATTATTGAATATTGAAAGCAATATAGCGTAAATTTTTAGAAATAATTGAATTTTGAAAATGTTTCAAATTAAAATCTATTAGAAAATTTGAAGTTTTTATACTTTTAATTAACTGTAGAATTTATTTTTAAAAAAGTTTAATTAAATTTTTCTTTGATTTTGGAAGTTTTTATTTTTAATATATATTTAATTAAAAAATGTCAGAATAATCAAAATTAAGTAAAAATTAATATTGAAAATAATTGAATATTTACAAAGTATTTTATCATTTTTGAAAATAATTGAATTCTTGCGAAGAATTTTGTCAATTTTAAAAATAATTGAATTATTCAGAACAATTTTATTAACATTTTTTTAAGAATAATTGAATTTCTGGGAATGATTTTATTATCTATAAAAGTAATTAAATTCTTGACAAGATGTTTAAGGAAATTTGTAATTAATTTTTCTCAAAAAGTTTAATGGAGTTTTTTTAATTATATAAAGTTTTTAATTTCTAATTTATTTAATTGAAGAATGACAGAATAATCGAAAGTTGAGGTAAAATTGAATTGTAAATAAATGGATTAAAAAATTCTCAAAGAAGAACTTTTTAAAAAAAAAATTACAAAAATTACCTTAAAGAAATTTCAGATTTACCAAAGAGTGCAATTTTATGTTTTTTAAAAATGTTGGGGAATTGTGGGCTACTGCCAAAATTGAGAACAAAATCAAAAATAGCGATGAAATATATTTATTACATGGTTAGAAATATTAAAAATGTTTAATTATTAGTTTAAAATTTGAAAAGAAAAAGTAAGAAAATGAAATTAATCGGAATCACAATTAATTAATTACAAATTTTTAAGTAAACAGCTTTATCGCATAAATCGCAATGTAACGAATTGTTTTTGTTAAATTAATATAGGTATGAGTGATTTTAATAATATGTACCTACATTGTGCAATTAAGGGGGGAACCTCCTTTAGACGATCGAAAAATGCGTCATTTTTGGGATCTTTTTTCTCGGGTAAAATAACTTCAAACATTTTGTAATTTATAGGGTACTTTAATACATGTCTTGAGAGTCTAAAAAAATTTTTGGAGAAAAAACAAAACATTTTTAGTATGGAAATATACACCGCGTCCATGGCACCTCATTTTATCTGTGAACATTCTAGCGCTCTGAATTTTTTTCGAAAACAAAGAAACCAACCTTTTTTTTAAACTTTAGGATAATACCTTCTATATGACATTTCGATTTTTTAAAAAAAATTTCAAGAATTGATTTTTTTACCCACTTTTAAGTTAAAAGTGATTTTTCGTGCATAAAAATTGACTTTAAAATTCCAAAAAAATATGAAAAAAAATTTTTTTTCAAGAAACACTAAATGTCATATTGAAGATTATTTAATTATCTTTAAAATGATGTATCATAAAGCCCAATTGGTTTAAAAGGGCGTTCTCAATCGTGTTCACAAAATTAAAAAATGGTGTTTCGAGAAAAATGCGTTTGAAGTTTTTTTTAAATAAAGGGACTCGAATGTCAAACAAATGAAAGAAGGGTTTTTTTAGTCAAAGTACCAATCCCACACAATAATTAAAATAATATTTTTCATAATTTATTCTTGAAAATCTTTGTAAAAACAATAAAAACATGAAGGTCCAAAATAAATATTTGAATGCAATTCTTCAGGTGATTTTTGTTTGCGGTTTATAGGTAATTATAAAGCGTTGTAAAGTAATTAAATGCTTATGAAAAATTTACTTTGGATGAACAAAAAAAAATTTTTTTTAATTGGATGTTTAAACTTATAAATATTATTAAATAATTGAGGTGGCCCACAATTCCCCAATCTCCCCTATCTTTTTACAGAAATTTAGAAATTCTCACCTTCCGGATTTCTTTCTGGAATTGGGAGGTCCAACACATTGACAGCAGGAGCTAAATATAAAATAGTAATTATTATTATTACAATTAATTAAAATACTTCCAAACGGATCAAATTAGTAATTTCCTACAAACAATTAGTATCTTTTTACAGAAATTAAAAAATTTTTACCTTTCTGATTTCTATCGGCAATTAGGAGGTCCAACACATTGACAGCAGGAGCTAAATATAAAATAGTAATTATTATTATTACAATTAATTAAAATACTTCCAAACGGATCAAATTAGTAATTTCCTACAAACAATTAGTATCTTTTTACAGAAATTAAAAAATTTTTACCTTTCTGATTTCTTTCGGCAATTAGGAGGTCCAACACATTGACAGCAGGAGCTAAATAAAAAATAGTAATTAACTGTTAATAATTTAAATGTTCTTTCATTCATCCTTTTTTTCTGTCCCTCACACTCTGAAGTTGTCTTTTGTTTATACTTTTGTTTTTTGTTATCTTTAAATAAATTGTATATTATATTATTACTAGCAAATGTTACGCGCGGAACGTGATATTCAATTTATTATTGTTATGCAAATTACAAAATATTTTATTTTCAAATATAATTATTTAACCCTCTGCCTACGCTGACTTATCCCCACTCACAGTAAAAACCACGTGACTACTTTATAGACACGAGAATATATATAGCTTTCGGTAAAGTATATTCAGGGGCGTATGTTTGTGCATATTCAAATTATACAATATTTCAAAGGAAGGAAAATCTTTACAAAAATGTTTTTTTTCAATTACTAAATGTCGAAACATGCAAAAACTTTATACTTATTTAACTAAATTAGTAAGTTTATAACATTTTTGAATATCTATTTTGAACATAACCTATAATAGTTTGATTAACCCTTTAACGCCCAAATGGACAAAATTTTGGCATGAAGTTTGAGGACTTATTTCGGTACTTAAAAATCAATAGAAAAATTCACGAATCATCATTTCTTATGTTTTCATATGCACTCTATCGAATGGCGTTAAAAAAAAGTCAAAAATTTATAAACAAAAAAGTTATTAATGTTTTTTATAAAAAAGTCCGATTTTTTTCCAATTTTTGTTTAATTTTCAATTTTTTCTACTATGATATAGCGAAAAAATAATTCCAAATGTTACAAATAACGTGACATAGATATATAACCTAGAAGATAGGACTATAGAGAAAATTAAAAATTAAAATGGCGGCTCAAAAATGGAGTTTGAAGTTCAAATTTTTTTCAAAATTTGATTCGAAAGTACGAAATTGTTAAAAGTGTTTAGATCAGCTTGAAATTTGTTACTTGGGGGTTTTAGGGGTCGCTGATCACGAATCAGAAGTCCAATTTTCAAAATTCAAAATGGCGGATCCAATATGGCGGCTAATTTTTTTAAAAAACTAATTAAATTTGCTTGAAACTTGTTACTCGGGGGTTTTTGGGGTCGCTAATTATGAATATGAAATCCAATTTTTAAAATTCAAAATGGCGGATCTAATATGGCTGACAAATTTTTCAAAAATTTATTAGGTTAGCTTGAAATTTGTTTCTCGGGGGTTTTAGGGATCGCTGATCACGAATCAGAAGTCCAATTTTCAAAATTCAAAATGGCGGATCCAATATGGCGAACAATTTTTGTAAAAACTCATTAAATTTGCTTGAAACTTGTTACTCGGGGGTTTTTGGGGTCGCTTATGACGAATATAATATCCAATTTTTAAAATTTTAAATGGCGGATCTAATTTGGCCGACAAATTTTCAAAAACTCATTATATTAGCTTAAAATGTGTTACTCGGGGATTTTAGGGGTCGATGATCACGAATCTGGAGTCCAATTTTCAAAATTTGAAGTGGCGGATCCAATATGGCTGCCAATTTTTCTAAAAAATCATTAGATTCGCTTGAAACTTGTTACTCGAGGGTTTTTGGGGTCGCTGATTACGATTATAATGTCCAATTTTTAAAATTAAACATGGCCGCTTCAATATGACAGACAAATTTTCAGTTGAAATTTGATAATCACAATCTTTAGCCATTAAAATATTAAAAATATTTTTAATGTTTTCCAACTTTCACCGCGTAGAGGTAAACGTGAACTGATAAGTCTTTTTTTCAATTTTTTTTTTTTTCGATTTAATATATAGATAAGTAAATTTAATCGAATTAAAACTATGAAGAATGATTTTTGAAAGGTTTTACAAGAGCTTCAAGCTGGAGATAAAAACAATTGTTTTTTTCAATTTGACCCTGAAATAAGTAATAATTAAAATAAAACATGCATTTCTATTTTTTTACCTTTAAATTCAAAAATTATAATAACAAATAAAAAGAAGAAAAATACATAAAAAAAATAAAACAGTAAAATAATATATATAAAATTTAAAAATAAAAAAAAAGATTTTCCAGTTCACGTTTACCTCCACGTGGTGAAAGTTGGAAAACATTAAAAATATTTTAAGTATTTCAATGGCTAAAGAACGTGATTATCGAATTTCAACTGAAAATTTGTCGGCCATATTGGATCCCCATTTTAAATTTTAAAAATTGGATATTATATTCGTAATAAGCGACCCCAAAAACCCCCGAGTAACAAGTTTCAAGCAAATTTAATGAGTTTTTACAAAAATTGTCCGCCATATTGGATCCGCCATTTTAAATTTTGAAAATTGGACTTCTGATTCGTGATCATCGACCCCTAAAACCCCAGAGTAACAAATTCCAAGCTAATCTAATGAATTTTTGAAAAATTTGTCGGCCATATTAGATCCGCTATTTTGAATTTTAAAAATTGGATTTCATATTCATAATCAGCGACCCCAAAAACCCCCGAGTAACAAGTTTCAAGCAAATTTAATTAGTTTTTAAAAAAAATTAGCCGCCATATTGGATCCGCCATTTTGAATTTTGAAAATTGGACTTCTGATTCGTGATCAGCGACCCCTAAAACCCCCGAGTAACAAAATTCAAGCTGATCTAAACACTTTTAACAATTTCGTACTTTCGAATGAAATTTTGAAAAGAATTTGAACTTCAAACTCCAGTTTTGAGCCGCCATTTTAATTTTTAATTTTCTCTATAGTCCTATCTTCTAGGTTATATATCTATGTCACGTTATTTGTAACATTTGGAATTATTTTTTCGCTATTTCATAGTAGAAAAAATTGAAAATTAAACAAAAATTGGAAAAAAATCGGACTTTTTTTATAAAAAACATTAATAACTTTTTTGTTTATAAATTTTTGACTTTTTTTAACGCCATTCGATAGAGTGCATATGAAAGCATAAGAAATGATGATTCGTGAATTTTTCTATTGATTTTTAAGTACCGAAATAAGTCCTCAAACTTCATGCTAAAATTTTGTCCATTTGGGCGTTAAAAGGTTAATATTATTGTTATTGATTTTTAAACAGTTAAATTGAATTACGTGACAAAATATTTAAATTAAATATTAATATAAAGGTTATCATTTATAATATTTGACTTTGGCGGCAATAGTCTTACCTATTACTACAGAGTCTACATATCAGTACAATTCAGTACATATCGGACCCAGATGTCAGTACAACTCGCTATTTCATTCTGGCAACCCTGCAGTTACCGTCAGATAGCGCTACATCTTGTCGAAAATTATGATGAGTTTCCATTCATCGTCTAAGACTCTGATCACACCGTGATTTTAGGTTCAAACTTCTCTCCGTGTGGATTCACCCTTAGTAAAGGAGGTAAACAATTGGGTTTTAAATGCAGACAGGATCATGAGGATGAATATAATTGCAATGATGAAAATTTGGAGTTGGCTGAACCTTTAATTGAAATTAACCCCTGCACTGTTTGGAAAAATATTCATTTTAGTGCCCCAAAATGTCCATCAAAAGCTTTTAAATTGTTATATTACTTAAAAATAATAAACAATTATTTATTTATTACTTTTTCTGGTATCATTGATACATATAGTATGTGAATAATGATATAAAAGAATTTATTTTATAATTTAAATAACAAATTTCTATTTTTTGCTAAAACTTTCACGACCCAACGTTGGGTCGCAAACAGTCTGGGCCATCTTTTTTCGCGACCCAACGTTGGGTCGCAAACAGGCAACGGGTTAATGATGCAGATGGAAATATAGATATTGTAAATGACCCTAAATTCAACTTGCTAGTCAGTATTATCCGAATGATAAGTAGACTACAATTAAAACCAGCAATGACAGGAAGTACTGTAACAAATGTTCTGGATGAATTTGAACAAACATTAACAAGTTATAATAAATTTTTAAAGAAAGAAACGGAGAAGGTTCTTCAAAACAATAACATACTACAAAATCCATATAGTCAAGAATTAATGAAGAATTTTCAGTCACCAAGTACATCATTTTCTGGCTTGCGAACATTAAAGGAACAAATAAATTCTCTTAAGAACTATTGTAATTATATAGATGGCATTGAAGTTTCTTTAGGAGATAGAGTAGATAATATTTTGGATACTAATTCATCAACTACAGTACCTAAGTTAGTCAAAGAAACGTTTCAATATGTTCCCTCATTGAAGTTTTGACCTTAATTATGTCAAATCCTGCAATCCGAAATCCTTTAACTGAGAGGAATTCAGAAAAAGAAGTTCTTTCATCGTATATAAATGGGGAACATTTTAAACAAAACCATTTTTTCCAGCGATTTAAACATGCCTTAAGAATTGTCTTATTTGGAAATAGTTAATCCTCTTGGCTCGAAAATTAGGCCTCATAAGCTGGGAGTGTTTTATTTTATAATTGACAATTTGCCATTACATATCAAAACCAAAATTGGAAATATTCATGTCGCATGTTTATGTTACCCCGAAGATGTAAAAAATATGGATATCAAAGAATTTATGCGTGACTTATTTCTAGAGAACAATTGTATGCTAGAAATGTTACTATGCAAGAAAAAAGAACAGAAGCATTATTTTCCAATCATGTGCAACGTTTAAAAAATGCAGCTGCTGAAAGAGAATTTCAAAACATCACAACAGAAAGTGGCGTTTCTGGTGAGTGTTCTTTAAATAGTTCAAAATTCTTTCACATTTCACGCAATAAAATATTCGACATAATGCATGATTTCCTATGTGGCATTGTTCCAATGGTATTAAAATTAGTTATTAATCAGTATGTATATAAGAGTTCTGTTTTTGACTTAGCATTTCTGAATGGAAGAGTAAGTGAGAGTAAGTTCGGCCAGAAATCTACAATGACGAAAGGTAAAAAAATTTAATTTTTCTGATAAACTTTTTTACAGGGAATTTAAGAGCTCTCGTTTTTTTACCAGCGTTATTACCTGCAGTTAATTTTACACATAGTCTTAAAAATGATGAAAATAGT